TTAAATATCAGGAAGATAAAGGCATCAAAGAATGAAAATTAAACTGGTAGGCCCTGTGTGAAAAAAGATTTTATTTTGTTCATTTACACATAGGAATAAAAGAAGTTTCATGGCAGATGCCTAGACATTTGGCCTCATTCACACTGTCAAAGTGAGCAACATTGCATAGGAGAAAAAAACAATTACAATGTACAATGATCAAAAAGAGACCTCTAATTCAACAGCTGCTTGGAATACCCTTCAGCAGACTTAAGACTGCTTGTGGGATTTGTAATCTCATATTGTTAAACACTGCTTAAAAACATAAACAAATTCTTAATCTGACTCAGAGTTCTCATTGCTGGCGTTCGAGCCAACTTGAGCTCACTAAGGCATGGGCAAAAAATTTCTTTTGAGAGACTATTTGTGATCTGTGCTAGTCCTGTGATTTGTTTCCAAGTTTTTGAAAGTGAAAGCATATAAACCCTAACACGAAAAGCTACTCATAAGAATAAAATGGAAATGAAAGATAAGTAAAAGGTAAATAAGGTAAAGGCCCTCCCGTTGATCGTCGATTTGCTCGAGCGGGCCCAGTAACGTCTCCATTGGAGACTTTGTTGTTACTGTGTCTGGCATATCGAATACTCTCGGTAGCTTGCCGGGCTCTCCGAGAGGGGCGGAGGAATCGAACTCGGGTCGGCCATGTTGGCCGCGTGTAAGGCAAACGCCCTACCCGCTGTGCTATCGCTCCAGATAAGTAAGGACTAAAAAACAATTACAATGACATATATTTTATAGCTCAGTTATTTTTTTTCTATTGAATCACTGTCAGATAGTTACAAAGCTTCCATGCTTGTAAGCCATATAAATGATGGAACACCCCCACCCCTCCACCAGTGCACATTTTCTACCAGTCCCAATATCCCCTCCCCTCTATCCCAACACTTCCCCTGCCTCTATGGCAGACAACTTCCGCCATACTCTCTTTGCAATATAGATACTGAGGGCATTATGGTTTGCAATAGAGATACTGAGAGCTATCACATTTGGTCCTGTATCTACTTTCAGCACTGATCTCCCATCTAAACGATCCCTCCAACCATTATTGACTTAGTGATCCCTTCTCTATTCCATCTTCCTTCTCCCCCAGCTCATGAGGCAGCTTTCAACTATGAAGCAATGTTCCTGGCCCTTGTTTCTACTATCCTTGGGTGTCTATCTCATATTATATTTTATATTCCGCAAATGAATGAAGTCATTCTATGTCTGTCCCTCTCTTTCTGACTCATTTCACTTAGCATAATACTCTCCATGACCATCCACTTATAAGCAAGTTTCATGACTTCACCTCTCCTAACAACTGCATAGTATTCCATTGTGCAGATGCATACCAAAGTTTACTTAACCAATTGTCTGTTCTCGGGCACTCAGGTTGTTTCCAGATTCTGGCTATTGTGAACAGTGCTGCAATGTACATGCAGAAATGACTTCTGCACTGCACTGTGCACTGTCCTCCTGTTGTTCATCAATTTGCTCAAGCGGGCCCAGTAATGTCTCCATTTTGAGACTTGTTGTTACTGTGTTTGGCATATTGAATACATCACGTGTAGCTTGCCAGACTTTGCCGTGCAGGCGAAATACTCTCGGTAGCTAGCCGGGCTCTTGGAGAGGGGCAGACGAATCGAACCTGGCTCGGCAGGGCTGGCTGTGCGCAAGGCAAACGCCCTACCGATGTGCTATCGCTCCAGCCTATTGTGTCATTTCCACTGTGCATTTTCTGCATCCTCGATATATGTTCCCAGAAGTGGTGTTGCGAGGTCATATGGAAGCTCAGTTTCCATATGCGGGGTCATATGGAAGCCCAGATTGTTTTCCAAAAAGGCTGGACCAGTCAGTCTTCCCACCACAACGAGAGTCTCTTTCTCCCCACATCCATGCCAGCACTGGTTGCGTATCTTAGTTCTTATACTAGAAACATGGATCATGGATTTCAGGCTAACCTCATTGGAACTCCTTCCATGGCATTATTTTTTTATTTCTTTTTTAATTTAGTCTTTGTGAAATTACAATGCTATTCATGATTGGGTTTCAGACATACAGTGTTTCAACACCAACCCCTTCACCAGTGTCCACTTCCCGTCAACAATGTCCCCACTCTCTTCCCAGCCCCAAATGCTTCCCACTCACCACTCTGCCCCTATGAGAAGAGAGTCTTTTTGAAACATAAGTTTTTGCACTGTGATTTACAGTACTCTTACTGAGGATTTCATGAAAAACACTTTACCGCCTTTCAAATCACCTCTTCCTCCTAGTCAAACATGGCCCTCGACCATCAATGTTGCCCCCTCCCTCTCCTGTCCCCCAGTTTCTCTCAATGGTATGTTTCCTACTGAAGACCAGTTTTCATGTTCTTTGGGCATTTATTATTTCACCATTATGTTTATTTATATCCTGCTGAGACGGCTCATTCTGTTTCCGTTTCTCTCCTGCTAACTTCAGGCAGAATGATACTCTCAAGATCCATCGATGTGGCAGCACACTGCATGATTTTTATCTTTTCTTATAGTTGAGTAGTGGGCTGGAGCGATAGCACAGCGGTAGGGCATTTGCCTTGCACATAGCCAATGTGGCCGACCAAAGTTCAATTCCTCCGCCCCTCTCAGAGAGCCCGGCAAGCTACCGAGAGTATCTCGCTCGCATGGCAGAGCCTGGCAAGCTACCTGTGACGTATTCAATATGCCAAACACAGTAACAACAAAGTCTCCAATGGAGACGTTATTGGGCCCACTCGAGCAAATCGATGAACAACGGGAGGACAGTGACAGTGACATAATTGAGTAGTATTCCATTGTGTATATTCACCATAGTTTCTTTATCCAGTGATTTGTTCTTGGACACTTCCAAGTAGCTAACAGATTTTGGCTACCAATTGTGTATAGGGGCACTGTTTTCTTTTTTCTTTCTGGTATTTGGTTGTTTTATTGGGGCGTGGGAGCACAACCTATGGTGCTCAGAGATTACTCAGAATCTGTATTCAGAAACCATACCTGGCAGTGTTTGGGGATGCTGAGGATCAAAAGCTCGATCAGCAACATGCAAGGCAAACACCCTACCCACTGTACTATTGCTCCAGCCTCTATTTCTGGTTTTGGGGCCACACCCCACGAACGATGCTCAGGGGTAACTCCTGGCTTTACACTAAAGAACTACTCCTGCTGTTTGGGGACCACATCTGATGTCAGGGTGTTGGAAACCAGAATCCAGAATGCTAAAGCCCACAGATGGAATGCTGCCCTCAAGGCAAATCTTCCTAGAAGAATTTCCCCTGAAGCAAGTCCTTTATTTATTTATTTATTTGTTTATTTTTGCTTTTTGGGTTACACCTGGCGAGGCACAGGGGTTACTCCTGGCTTTGCACTCAGGAGTTACTCCTGGCGGTGCTCAGGGAACCATATGGGATGCTGGGAATTGAACCTGGGTCTGCCGTGTGCAAGGCAAACGCCCTACCCACTGTGCTATCTCTCCAGCCCCAGCAAGTCCTTTAGATCAATGTGTTTATATTTATGTTGAACCAACACCCACAGATAAGCAAAAGCCTAATCCAACTAAAAATGTTTGTTTTTCTCCTGATGTTTACTGGTTCTAAGCAATAAATACAGTGAGCTGAGGATAGTCAGGGCTCTCAGTCTGATAGGCTGCTAGCCAGCCCCCACAGACACACCAGCCCTGCCGCCCCCCCCCCCCCATCCCATGTTTCTTTCCTCTTATTTCAGTCTCCTCTTAGTTCTGGTACTGCCTTTGCTTCAGACCTGTTCACTTGAGTCTGGTACTCAGCACCAGGGATTAAACCCAGGTCAGCAGTGTGCAAGGCAAACACCCTACCCACAGCACTATTGTTCTGGCTCCGTGTGGAACTATTTTATTACTGCTTCCAACCTCACTATTTTATTATCTTAAGGTATTGCACTGTAGCACTGTCCTGTCCTCCCATTGCTCATCAATTTGCTCGAGTGGGCACCAGTAACGTCTTCAGTGTGAGACTTGTTGTTACTGTTTTTGGCATAGCAAATACACCATGGGGAGCTTGCCAGGCTTTGCTGTGTGGGTGGGATATTCTCAGTAGCTTGCCAGGAGGAGGAATCGAACCTGGGTCAGCCACGTGCAAGGCAAATGCCCTACCCACTGTGCTATCAGCACTACTTAAGGTATTACTACCAGATAACATATCATTTTTTTTTTTAGCATTGAACTATTACTCCAAACTTAGTTACATTAGAAAGTTATGTGTTTCCCCAGATGGAGCAGTGGAGGGTACAGGTGCAGTCTCCTCTCCTACTCCAGATGAAATCCCAGCAACCAAGAGCTTACACAGGCAAGACACAGATATTCGGATTCCAGAACTAAGTCTCCAAGCCGCATGGCGGAGCAGAGTTGGGCAGTCTCTCCCCGGCTCCCCACCCACTCTTGATACCAGAAGTCAAGTCCATAACCCGCCTCCAGGTGCCATCCTGGCAAATCCACAGCCGGGGTCCAGAAACTCCCAACTGAATCCCAAAATGGATTAGCTCCCTACAGAGATGTCTCTGGAACCCAACCATTGACAATCTTAGAATTCCAGAAGTGTGCGGCTGCTTTTGCGGCTGTACAACCTCTCATAATATTCAAAATAAGCCATGGAAAATAAATGATCTAGCGTCTGCCCCTGGCAGGCAGGCTTGAATGGTGGTGGGAAAATTTGAGCAAAATATAATAACCAAAATTAGAGAGAGAGTATCGTGGAAATTGTCTGCCATAGAGGTAAGGTGAGGACTGGGATTGGGGGCGGGGGGCAGACAATGGGGACATTGGTGGTGGAAAATTTGCACTGGTGGAGGGATAGATGTTCAATCACTGTATGGATGAATCTCAAACATGAAAGCTTTGTAACAGTATCTCATGGTGATTCAATTAAAAAAAAATGAAAAGAAGATTATGTACTTAAGTAGCCATTTTGCCAGAGCTTCAGATGGTTTGCTACTAACCTGTACCCAGCCCGATCTTCACATTATGCTTCAGGACTTCTAGCACATTGAGAAAGCCACTGCTTAGCCTGGAGAGAGAGAGAGAGAGAGAGAGAGAGAGAGAGAGAGAGAGAGAGAGAGAGAGAGAGAGAGAGAGAGAGAGAATCAAAACAAGGAATCCAGGGGGTTCCAACAAAAAAAAATCTCCACTAACAACCCAAATGGTCATGCCACTGAAATGTATTTCCCATCTTATCTGCTCTAATGTTGGTGCAAATATATTAGTCAAGTTAGACCATCTAAGTCCTAGAGTTCAGAAGAGTTCAGAAGGACCATAAAGTAGCTTGAATCTGTGGGTCAAAGTTATTCTAAGGAAGGTACAAAAAAAGCAGGGGTCAAAAAGAAAAGGCAGGGAAAATTAGCAAGGAAAAATTAAGGAATAAAACCTTCAATTAGTTCCAAAGTCTTACCAATCTTAAAATAATTTCTTTAGAGTGTAGAGAAGCAATACAATGGATATAGCTCTTGTCTTGCACATGACCGGCCTGGTTTTCAATCCCCAGCACCCCTCATGGTCTTCCAAGCTCAGTCAGTAGTAATTTCTAAGTGCTGAGCCAGGAGTAACCCTTGAACATCACTGGGTCTGGCCCCCAAATGATAACAACAACAACAATAGCAACAACAACAATAACTTAATCAGTTCATTCTTGTGTGTCAGAAAGTAGAAATAAGACGTTTTCTTTCTTCTGTCTGGAATGTATTACCCTGAATGAGTAGGGACTAACAAAATCAAAGAAAAGGAAATATAACTGCAAAACGGAGTGCAAGATGCCAAGCTCAGAACTGACAGTTCAGATGCTGCCACTGGGCTCCACAACAGTTGCCACAGTTAATTCCTGGGTAGAATTCCTCACCTTGTGACTCTGTGCTTAGCATCAGATATGCTGTGCTGTCTTTCTAAGAGACAAAGGAAAACCAATGCGACTCTGAAGGAAGGCAGAGGTCTTGTCTGATGGAAAATGCATGTAACAATACTTTCCCCGGCCCATTTGTCTGCATGCCTAAACTTCTTTGTTTTTTGGGAAGGAAAATAATCATTTAAACAAAAATATACATAAAGTATAGAGCTTAAGCCTCCCTTTGAAAAGCTGGATCATGCTTAATTTAGATGTGTAACTCACCCAAGAGGTGCTATCTTTCTCCCCTATCTGGTCATTAGACTATAATGAAGGCCACTAAACTCTACATGAATAAGATTGTCAAGTGCGACTACTTTATGCCTGAAAACATGAAGCTTCTAGAACCTCCCAATACCTCAAAAAATATAATACTGTAAATAGTTCCCACATTGTCACTAACATTACAAGTTTTTTTTATTGGCAAAACCCCTAAGACTTCTAACTTTCAGGACTTCCACATTTTTCTCAGGATGGGGTTGGGGGTTCGCTTCAGAGCTGCTATTGCCTACTTTATTCTAATTTGGTTGGTCAGAAGATCCAGAAAATTACGGTTCCTTCAGCCCCACAGTGGTCCTTCACAATATATATGTGTATTAGGGTGTAATCATCCAGCTGCTCTATTAACACACCTCAAAGGGGTTTGCTCACTGAAAGATTAAATTCCAAAAGTCCACAGTGGTAACTTGCTTAATGATGCCCTCTTTACTGTGTATCTTCCCTTCTCTTTCTTTTTTCCCTAAAGGATATTCCAGAGATCACAAACTAAAAAAAATGGCTAGTACAGAAATTCTTATCTCACAAATCTGCTTTGGCAAGAATCCAAAACAAAAGGGAAAAAGATAGTCACAAGATACTACAAATTATAGCACTGTATAGCACTGTCCTCCTGTTGTTCATTGATTTGCTCGAGCAGGCTCCAGTAACGTCTCCATTGTGAGACTTGTTACTGTTTTTGGCATATCGAATACATTATGGGGAGCCTGTCAAGCTCTGCTGTGCAGGCGGGATACTCTCAGTTGCTTGCCAGGCTCTCTGAGAGGGGCGGAGGAATAGAACCCAGGTCGGCCGGGTGCAAGGCAAACGCCCCACTGGCTGTGTTATCGCAGAAGCTAAATAATGTGTGGAATGGTGTGATCGCTACATAACTGATCAACCCCAAGTTGCATGTGTGGGGAAGAAGTTGTGTTCTGAGTCAACTAAAACTGAAAACTTAGAGATTCTTTGCCTAAGTAAGGATTAATAACCGGCATCCAAGTAGCTTCATCCTGGGATCTATGCATTGCCTAAAATTAGATGCAACATTTTTATACCTATGACTTTATTTCTGAAGATACTTCTCATTCACTTACACATTTATGATCTTTCAAAAAGTTATGAACCAGTTATAAATAATGCTTTTGCAATCTGGGTATTCAAAATAGGACAGGTATCTCCTATGTCTCCAGTAGAAAAATGTGGATTGTTGATTTTTGAGTAGCATTGCATCAATTCTTGTTGTTTGTACATTTCCAATAGTTTTCACAAGAAAAAGCAATGGAAAGTCAGTCTCTAAAACACATATTCCAGTGCTTATTTGTATATTCTTAATATCACTCGTTTTGAATCCTTTCTGTTGTGCTGCCCAGTGTGCTATTTTACACAAAAGTTTTAAAAAATTATTGAGATGCCATGGTCTTGAAATGCAAATGAACTTTACAAAATGTACCTTTCTGTATGTGCTTTTTCTTCCCACTACCCCACAGATAAGCATCTGTTTCTCTAGTTCTCATCCCTGCCGAACACAATTACAGGAGAGAGAAACTGGAAGAATGACGTAAAACAAAGGCATACAGTTGTTCACTCATAATGTGAACATTCATAATATGTCACATAAATATTATCTGCTTACGATAAGTTAGAGTTGGGACAATGGGAGATTGATGCTCCTCGTTCTCTGAAGATGTTCAGTTCTTCAGAAGAAAGGTAGCAGCCATGTGCCATCACTGTCTGGAAAGAAGAATGTCTTGCATGGAGTTTACTGATTACATCAGCTTAAATTAAAGCTCATACCCAACACAGTATCATAGATGCAGACAGACAGAAGTTTGACTTGGCTGGTACTATCTTACAGAGTGCATTTATGGATTTTCTCTATCAACCCCCTGTGTATAAGTTACATCTCAAAAAAGACTTATAGGCAGGGGTCAGAGTAAAGGGGGTAAGGCCTTGCATGCCGCTGATCTGGGTTCAATCCCCAACACCCCAAATGATCTCCTGAGCACAGCCAGGAGTGATTCCTGAGTGCAGAGTCAGGAGTGACGACTGAGACTCACTGGATGGGTGACCCAAAAGCCAAAATCCAAAACAAACAAACAAAATACTTGTAGACATATTTTATTAAAAAGTCTCAGCTTATCTGTAAAATTACTATTTTACTCTTTTCGCTTTTAATTTATAAAATAATAAGATTGGTCCAGGGGGTCATCATAAGCTATACAAGCAATTCAAAGACATTCTGATTCCTTCATGTCCACTTTTGAAAATAGTCAAGTTACTTTTCATGGTGAGCAACTGGTTGAATACCAATTGTTCCAATTCTAATCCTTCGTTGGGCAGTAGAAGTTATTGGAGTGATCTTGCATAGAGCTATTTTATTTCTCTCCTTAGTTAAATATAGGTACCAATAAATCATGTAATTAGCATTAACTCATCTATAAAAATTAAATATAACATCAAATTGTATTAAGCTAATATTAACTCACCTATATTTACACTTTAATTATATATTAGAAAATGTAGTAACTAATTAGAAGAATAATATTGATCCATAAATGCAGGCATTGCATACATGATAAAGTTCTTTTAAAATTATTTGCTAGGTGGGGGGGGGGGATGCTGGGACCCATGGGGATGGATGACGGGCACTGGTGGAGGGATGGGCACTTGATCATTGTATAACTGAAACCCAAGCACAAGATTTGTAAGCCTATAACTGTACCTCATGGTTTTTCACTAATAAAAAAAGAAAAAATAAATAAAATAAAATAAAATTATTTGCTCATTAGTACAAAATTTCATCCACATAGCTTTCTCTTTTGGGAGGCATGATTCAATGAACACAGAATTATATTTGAAATAAACTTTTCTCAACTTCTGTCCAGTTAAAACAGACATAAAAATTGAAGATAAAATTTTAATTATATGGAAATGCTTGTAAAGGAGGAGGAAAATTATAGTGTGGCATTCTTGATATTTATGCAGAATATTAGCTTTTAAACTAGTCATATTCATATCTCTATTACATAGTCCCCAAGAATTTGTGTCTCTATAGTTAAATCCAGCACACAGTTTGTATAGTTCACTAAAGGTATACCGCAATGAAGTTTCTCCAAAGATTATAATTCAAATTATTCAATTATAAAAGTAATGCCCTTTAAACGCTTTTGCCTTGATTAAAGATGAAAAGCAAGAAGTCTTTCTACTTTCTCCCATAGAAAAGTCACCTTTAATATTTAGTGTGGGTCTTCTACTAATTTTCATGAAATGCGCACACACTCCACACATATAAAATACCAACAATATTATGTAAACATTTTCCTTTATGAATCTGTATACCTCATTTTTTGTGAATCTTAGATAAAATTCTAATAATGTATGCTCTATAAACTAGTTTTTCACTGACACCAATTTTAAAGTTTTATGTGTAATTAACATTCTTATCTTTTTTTTAAAAAAAGCAAAATTCTTGGAAGTACAGTTACCAATTCAAGTAGATGTATGAAACTTATTGTTTCAATAGATACTGACAAAATGTTCTTGGACAAAATAATATCACTATCCTCATTGAAGCACCTTCAAGACCATTTTAAACTATATACAAATGCAGCACGCAAGTCTGAGTATTCCTCTGGTTTGGAATACATATGTCTCATTGTGACTAAGGTGGAAAAACTTACATTTAGAAACATCAATTTACACAAATTACATCATGTTGCACAATTTACCTTATTTGTCAGAAGATTGTTTTTATCATACACATCTGTGTAGTTTTTATAACTGGGATATAAGTTTTTCACAGCTTCAACTTCATCACGATTTTCACTTATGTGGCTCTAGGAGAAAAATAGTATTAAAATTTTAATTAAAAATACTATTATACATTATACTTCCTCCCCCATCTGTGTGGATGGTTTCTACTTGGCTGTATAAAGACAACAAAGACTGCATATGTTTTATTTAAAAATAATTTTATGTGTATAGAGAAATAGATACACAAGCTATATAAGATACACATGAAAAAGAAATGGCTGTCATGAACAGGTACCGCTCTTACAATGTTTTTAAAATTCTAAGCTATAGCAAGAATTTTTACTTTTATTATTGTAGTCATATACATACAAGACACAAACATTTGGAGGCACACCTGGCAGTACTCGCCTATGCCCAGGAATCACTCCTCCTCACTGGGTCCCAGGGACTATATGGGGGTCCAGGGATTGGGCATGTGTCAGCTATAAGCAAGGCAAGACTTGAGTTCAATTCCTGGCATCCCATATGGTTGTCTGAGCACTGCCAGGATGAATTCTTCAGTGCAGATCCAGGAATAATCAGGAATAATCTGAACATAGCTCGGTATGGCTCCCCAAAGGGAATATATACATTCCCATGTTCATAACATCATTATTTACAATAGCCATGCACATAGAATGGGTATGTCCATCAATGGATGAGTGGATAAATAAGTAATGTGTATACAAGCTAATATTCAGTCACTAAGAAAAAGAAACCTTGACATTTGCAACCACATGGCTAGACCTTGAAGCCATTTGCTAAGTCAAACAAGTCACGGTCACGGTTCTCCCACTGTTCATCGATTTGCTCGAGCGGGCCCAGTAACGTCTCCATTGGAGACTTTGTTGTTACTGTGTCTGGCATATCGAATACTCTCGGTAGCTTGCCAGGCTCCCCGAGAGGGGCGGAGGAATCGAACTCGGGTCGGCCATGTTGGCCCCGTGCAAGGCAAATGCCCTGCCACTGTGCTATTGTTCTCCCAAGGGTCAAACAAGTCAAACAAGTCAGAGAGGAGAGACAAAAATGACTGACCTCGACTATGGGCCTGACTATGGCTGTGCATAAATATTCAACTACAGAGTTGATGATTATTTTTTTTTTAAGTTACCATTTTGGGAAACCAGGAAAACATAGCTGCCCGAGATTTTATCTACTGTACCCTATAGCTGCAAGTTTGATAGGGATACTAAGAAGTGAAATTTCTGGGGAAGGAAGAAACTTTAAAGGGTAATTACCTAGATTTCTGGTAATAGCAATACATCCTACAATTCTTAGGGAAAAAAACTGGATTTTTTTCATCTGTCCTCTGAAATTGAATTTGAAATGTCAATACTCCAGAGAAAACTACTGACCTAAGACTGAAAAGCTTCAAAAGCTGAACCTGTGACTTGTGCTGTCTGCAGGCCTGAAAATGTTGAAAATCACTACCCCAAGAGACGGGAGTCTGGGGTCCGGTGAGAGAATAAAAACAGATATTTTAAGCATTTAAAACAGAGACTCACTTGATTTTGGGGGGGGGGGGATATATGGTGATGCTCAGGGGTTACTCCTGGCTCTGTGCTCAGGAATGACTCCTGGCAGTGCTTGGGGGCCCATATGGGATGCCAGGGATCGAACTTGGGTTGGCCATCTGCAAGTCCTACCAGCTGTACTATCACTCCAGCTCCTCTCCACTTTCTTATGTTCACTGGGAATTAAGGATTTAAAGGAATGAAAAACAAAATCTATGTATGTGAAAACCCAGTCAATGATCCTCCCTCTCACACCAAATGTACTTTCCTTACGCAAAGAAACAGAAAACACTACCACTAATTCCTAACTGCCCCTGAGGTTACTACCATACCCCAGTATGGTAATTCCAGCCAGGCAGGGGTGGAGCAGCAATACCACCCACTTTGGGAAACACTGAATTAAACACGAGGGAAACTGAGATACTTTTCCTACAGATAGAACAAAGAACAAAGTAGAAACTCCATGTAAGTGGCCTCTACATATCACCGGCTTGTGAGTAAACTTGAAATGTTTGCAGTTTTTTTTGTTGTTGTTGTTTTTGTTTTTGCTTTTTGGGTCACACCCGGCGATGCACAGGAGTTACTCCTGGTTCATGCACTCAGGAATTACTCCTGGTGGTGCTCAGGGGACCATATGGGATGCTGGGAATCGAACCTAGGTCAGCTGCATGCAAGGCAAATGCCCTGCCCGCTGTGCTATTGCTCCAGCCCCATGTTTGCAGTTTTTGATACCATAAGAGTGCAAACACTTTTGGGGTGGAGCAATAGCACATAGGGTAGGGTGTTTGCCTTGCACTGAGTCCAACCCGGGTTCCATCCCCAGCATCCCACATTGTCCCCTGAGAACCCTGAGATCACCAGGAGTGATCGCTGAATACAGAGCCAAGACTAAGCCCTGAAAACCCCAAACTGACAAAAAAATAATAATAATAAAAAAATGCAAACATTTAAAACCTCGGGACATTTTAAGAACATCAAGGAAAATATTAAGTATTATATTTCATAACACTGAGTACAGGGCTGGAGGGATAGCACAGCGGTAGGGCGTTTGCCTTGCACTCAGCCAGCCCAGTCGAGCAGGGTTCGATTCCTCCACCCCTCTCGGAGAGCCTGGCAAGCTACCGAGAGTATTCAATATGCCAAACACAGTAACAAGAAGTCTCACAATGGAGACGTTGCTGGGCCCGCTGGAGCAAATCGATGAACAACGGGAGGACTGTGACAATGACAACACTAAGTATTATTTTTAGTAAGAATTAAGTTTACTTTCTGAAGGCAAACTATTCACTGTATAAATTCAAGAAGAGATTTTTTTTCTCTCTCTCTTTGTAATAGATAATTTGAAAACTGGTTGTATCACCAAAGCTTTGACTGTACTATCAGAGAGCATGTAAGTTTGTGTAAGATCATAAATGCTTCAAAAAATTGAGATAAATCTCAGGCCCATAAGGAGAAAACATTCAAATATCTTTTTTTACATAGTCAAGTCTACTATGAAGGCCACAAAGTAGTCCCCTGGCAGGATGAGAAACCACCACAGTTTAAGAACATTGAGGAAAGAGAAATTAACTTGAAAAACACAGATGTTATGGGACTGGAGAGAAGTACAGTGGTTAGAACACTTACTTGCACTCAACTGACCCAGGTTGAACCCTGGCAACCCATATGGTTCCCCTGAGCTCACCAGAAGTAATCCCTGAGGGCGGAGCCAGGAGAAAGCTCTGGGCATCACCAGGCATGGCACAAAAATAACAAATAAATAACACTATCGTTCCAGCTCTGACATATCTGACTCCTGATAGTTCATTGAAAGTCCAATCTAAAATTCCCTAACAATCAATTCTAGTGAAGCTCATTAATGGTCATCTCTGTTATTATGAGATAATAAGATGTCCTGCAGCAGGGCACTTCCGGGAGCTGGGATTTAAAGTCTCTGGGTCTTGGCCGTTGATGGGATTATACAGCGCTGGGGGGCAGTTGGTGGGTGTGACCACCGCCTACTGGAAGATAGAGGATCTGGGTGGAGGATGCTCAGCCCCAATCTGAGCAGGCTTGGAAATCTCAGCCCCGGGACCGGCATGCCTTTGTTCCTCTGCCGACACTTTCATGCGTGTGGAGAGTGGTCTCAGCATGGTTGTGGCTGGTTTCTGAGGTCTTCGGGTCTCTGCCCAGGCTCTGCTCAGGGCGGGGAAGAAAACTCAACCCGCGACATCTTATTATCTCATTCTTGCTTTGACAACCTGGCAGGCTACCAAGTGTAGCCTGCCCACGCGGCAGAGTCTGGCAAACTCCCCGTGGCGTACCCAATATGCCAAATACCAGTAACAATGATGGGTCTCATTCTCCTAACCCTGAAAGAGCCTTGAATGTGGGACTTTTTAGAATCTCAGGGCTAGGACGAAGGAGACATTACTGGTGCCTGCTCGAGGCAATTGATGAACAACAGGATGATCGTGATCGTGATAGTTATCTGTTCTTATTGAAGTTATAAAAAATAACGGGTCAAGTTATTTGTACTAAATTTAATTCTTAAAGATTAATTTTACTGTAACTGGTGACTGGATAAATGGTGAAGAGGAAACTGTGTTTCAGTATTTTTCAGACATTAGATACCATATTCTTAGTTATTTTTGAAGTCTTTTGCTTTTCACTCATGAATTAGAGAATGGATCCTACGTTTTTATAATATCTGGCTATGACTTTCCAAGTACTTATTTCCATTGTTTCTTGTTGACTTGCATTGACTAAGAAATGAGACTGTGGGAACATTTTTTGCAGGTGGGAAGACTGGGTCTAATCTCCAGGACCACTGTGTTCTTGGTGTAACACTGGAAATAACTTCCAAACAAGCAGCCAGGAGTAGCCTCTAAGCACTCTTGGATGTAGTCCTAAAACCAATTTTGGGGGAGGATGTTTATGGGCCACATCCAGTGATGTCAAGAACAGCAGAGATAAGTGCCAGAAAGATTACTCCACAGCTTAGAAGCCAGACTCACATGCTGGAGGAAAAGTCAACTCAGATAGAGAAGGGATCACCAAGTAAAGGATGTTATGAGGGCCCACTTGGGATGGAAGATGCAGACTGAAAGTAGACTATAGATTGAACATGATGGCCACTTGATACTTCTACTGCAAACCACAACACCCAAAAGGAGAGAGAGAACCAAAGGGAATGCCCTGCCACAGAGGTGGGGTGGGTTGGAGGGGACGGGGCGGGGACGGTGAGAGGAACCATTGGTGGTGGAAAATGGACACTGGTGGAGGGATGGGTACTTGACCACTGTATGACTGAAACGCAAGCATGAAAGTTTGTAAGTCTGTAACCACATCCCATGGGGATTCACTAATAATTTTTTATTATAGAATTATTTTAGAATTATATACAATTATAGGTTCGTTATTGTTACTGTTTTTGGAATATCAAATATGCCACGGGCAGCTTGCCAGGCTCTGCCGTGTGGGCAGGATACTCTCAGTAGCTTGCCAATCTCTGAGAGGAACGGAGGGTTTTGGGGCAACCTCTGATCGCTTTTACAGGTTTTTGGTCAGCTGGCTTGTTGTAACGATCAGCACTCTGACAAACACGCACCTGCCTGCATGTCTAGGCAGCACCGGGGACATCTGCAGCCTCAGGTTGATCTCCCTAAGGTTAATGGAGTGCACCCAGAGGTTGTTGAGCAGCTGGTAGAGCAGGAACCCATCACAGAGGGTCTGTGCCAGGAAAATATGTATATATCGAATACATCACGAGTAGCTTGCCAGGCTCTGCCGTGAGGGCGAGATACTCTTGATAGCTGGCCGGGTGCCCCGATGTGTGTGTGTGTGTGTGTGTGTGTGTGTATATATATATATATATATATTTTATATATATTTTCCTCTATGATTTGTTGCCTACTATCTAAACCCCATGCTAATCTTCTCTGTATCGTTCCAATTTTAATATATGTGCTGCCAAAGCGAGCGATAGCACAGCGGTAGGGCGTTTGCCTTGCACGCAGCCAACATGGCCGACCCGAGTTCAATTCCTTCGCCCTTCTTGGAGAGCCCGGCAAGCTACCGAGAGTATCTCGCCTGCACGGCAGAGCCTGGCAAGCTACCCGTGATGTATTCGATATGCCAAACACGGTAACCACAAAGTCTCCATTGGAGACGTTACTGGGTCCTCTGGAGCAAATTGACGAACAACATGAGGACAGTGACAGTGACATCTAAACCCCATCAAATATTATGTAGTCACTTAATCACTTAATCACTTAACTTCCCGTTAGTCGTCGATTTGCTCGAGCGGGTGCCAGTAACGTCTCCATTTGTCCCTGTCGCGTGCTAGTGTAGCCCAATGGCATCTCTTCGCTCCGGGAACATGAATGGCCTCAAACTGATCGTTCATGATCTTGACGAAGAAGTCTGACCATCTAGTCTGACGGTTTTGCCTGACTGATGTTGCTGTTGTCCCAAAATTTCGAACGGGATCGGACCACCGTCTCCTTCGTGCAAAATTCTACTTCACAGAGTAGGGATAAAGGGCTGCAAAGTTCAAAAAGAGAACTCCCAGAATGACCACCAACTGGGAACTCTTTGGTACTATTGCGGCAACATGGGAAGATGCCATTGTTGACAAGATTGATGAGGAATACGATCGACTGGTTCAGCACCTCCATGAATGTGCGAGGAACGCCAAGAGAGAGATAGCCACAAAAAATCGCCAATCTTCGAAATCTCTTGAGCTAATTCGCCAGCGTGGTTTGGCGCATGCCTCAGGCAACTGCAAGCTAACGTCCGAGCTCGCAAAGCAGTGCAGAGATGCGATCAAGGAAGACTTCAAAGAGAGAAGAGCAGAAGTACTGGTAGATGCGGCAGAAGCCGGGAAAAGTATTCGTAACGCCCGCCTGTCCTTCGCCAACTATAAGACCAAGATGACTGCCCTCCGACGTCCTGATGGATCCATCACATCCTCCAGAACGGCAATGGAGAAGATTATCCATGACTTCTACTCAAATCTCTTCGATAGCCATGTCCACTTGCAGACATACCAAATTCCACAGGATGGATATGTCGTTCCCAACGTTCTCCGAAATCCGACATGCCATTTCGTCGGTAAAGAAACAAACAGCACCCGGCCCAGACAAGGTCAGACTTGAACACCTGAAGAACCTGCCGTCAGTACTCATCAATACACTGGCTCGGCTCTTCACACGCTACCTGTCTGAATGCAAGGTTCCGTCCCAATGGAAAACCAGCAGGACCGTACTACTGTTCAAGAAGGGAGACATCCATGACATTGGCAACTATCGCCCGATCTGCCTATTGTCTGTCATCTACAAGTTGTTCACTCGAGTCATCCTAAATAGGATTGGCAGAACACTAGATGAAGGACAACCATGCGAGCAAGCCGGGTTCCGCAAAGGATTCAGCACCATTGACCATATGCACACGATAACCAAGCACATTGAGGTTTCTCGGGAGTTCAAGATGCTGCTCTGTTTAATGTTCATTGATTATGTAGTAATTATGGAAAATGGGTAGGGAGTGTCTTATATGATGTGTCTAGGAATATGTTCACTCATATGTAAAGCTCGGCCTGAGCATGTGGAGAGCGGCCTGGAGCATGGTGGCAGTTGAGTTGTGGAGGTCAGCTGCCAGGGTTGGGTCCCTTGGGGCGCCCAAGTGAAAACAGCCTGGCGTGGATTCTGGTGGCATGGTTATAAGGGCCTCATCTTATGCTCCTTTCTGGGAGAAACAGTCGCAGGTCTCACTCTTAATAATGGATCTCATTCCCCTAACCCTGACCCTGAAAGAACCTCCAATACAGCAGCGTTGGGAAGGATGAGTAAGGAGAGACTGCTAAAATCTCAGGGCTGGGACGAATGGAGACGTTACTGGCACCTGCACCTTCTCGAACAAATCAATGAACAATGGGACGACAGTGATACAGTGATAAAATTATAGAATTATTTTAACTATCACATAAAAATTAGAGCTAAAGAAGCATTGGTTTGCCTTTCTCCTGACTTTCCCTTTCATATATGATAGCCAACTCCCCAAAGCAAAAGTTCTAGTTCACCATGTGATGAAGTTTGAATGGGGAAATGGGTGCTCCCAATTCCCAACTGGAACCCAGCTGGGAGCTCTTTGAAAGTGTTTTACTCCTAAATTGCAACCGCTTGATGACAAAGTAAAATACACTTTTTGTTTTGTTTTGTTTCGGATCTTAAATTAAGAAACTCGGAACGAAAGAGCTTTTTAATGTGTCTTGTAAAGTGGAAATTACGTTCCTCTTGCTTTTCAAATAATAGGTGGCTCTTTCAAAAATGAAGGACTGGGACACTGAGAAAATATCAAACAAAAGAAAAAAAATAGGGGAAAATGCATTAAATGCATCCTGGAGCGCACCATTAACCGGTTGGTTGCTGCTCTTGCTCAGACACTTACAACATCCTTATTTCTCCAAGTCTGACCAAGAAGCACTGTAGCACTGTCCTCCCATTGTTCATTGATTTGCTCGAGCGGGCACCAGTAATGTCTCCATTGTCAGACTTGTTACTGTTTTTGGCATATTGAATACATCATGGGGAGCTTGCCAGGCTCTGCCAAGCAGGCAGGATACTCTTGGTAACTTACCGGGCTCTCCAAGAGGGACGGAGAAATCAAACCTGGGTCAGCCGCGTGTAAGGCAAACACCCTACCCACTGTACTATCATTAATATTAATCACTGTACTATCATATATATTAATCACTCCAGTTGACCAAGAAGATGGAGAAAAATTTGAAACTTAGGTTTATTTCCTGAAAAATTAAAGAACTGGATCTGGGTGGCATCTGTAAGGGGCCTTCATATCCTAATATCCAATACCTGGAGGGGAGCTGTAAAAGAATTGTAGATTACTGCTGAAATTCACTGTACGGAGACATCTGTCAGGTCTGGACAGAATGCAAAACCAGGAGAAAAACACCTACCTGAACATGCAAATCACGGGTCTTTGCTATGTTTCCAAGTTCACTCATCAATGTTTCGGAGCAGGAAAGGGAAAAGCGTGGAGTGACTATAGGCTTCACTCTAGAATACTGAAAATCACAAGACAGGGGATAAGAAACTATGATAGCAAGTATTTCAATTTCCCATCATGTTGTTTTCATTCCAACCATACACATTTCAACCATCCTTCCTGTGCAACTATTCTACAAAACGGTTCTCTTCACAAAGACTGTTACTCATCCTTAAATGGACTGTGATTTTTCTCAAATTCAGCCTTTGTAATTTATAGCTGTATAAGAGAGTGTGAGAATTGCTCCATAAATATAGGAGCTGTTTTACAATGCAATGCCTTGTACCTGAATTACCTGCTGGTAGACTAAATGAGAGAAGACAGTTGTGAAAGAAAAGAATTAAAAAAAGAATCTGCAGCAGAACTTAGGCTGCATGTCCTCTCACAAGATGGCATGTTTTCCTTTGTTGGACAACCCTTCATGATAAGAGTGGGTGAAAATTATGACTTACATGAAAATGGCTCAAGTCAGGGGAAGGAAAGTATATTCTGTAGCAGAAAGTTTGATGGAAGATGATCTTATCCCAAATGATCCTTTCCTCCCTCTTGCCCCCCATCCCAATAACCACATGAGATTTGGGTAAGGCCCAAACTGTATTTTGTTTGTTTGTTTGTTTATGGGTCATACCCCAAGGTGCTCAGGAGCATATTTCTGGCTCTGCTCTCAGGAATCACTCCTGGCACTCTGGGGGTACCACATGGGATGCTGGGGATTGAACCTTGATTGACAAATTTTAAGGCCAGCACCCTACATGCTGCACTATCTCTCCAGCCCCCAAAGGAGTTTTATTTTTTTTTTTTTTTGCTTTTTTGGGTCACAACCGGACATTGCACAGGGGTTACTCCTGGCTCTGCAATCAGGAGTTACTCCTGGCAGTGGTCGGGGAACCATATGGGATGCTGGGAATTGAACCCGGGTCGGCCGCATGCAAGGCAAACGCCTTACCCGCTGTGCTATCACTCCAGCCCCCAAAGGAGAAGTTTTGAAGGAGAAAGTTGGGAAGACTACATGAAAGCCCCTCATCCGTTTTCCATGTAGGAGAGTTGGTACCACAGCCTTCCTGAGAACTGTCTTCCTGCAATCTCCTACGGCAAGGGGCCAAGCAGGAGAGAATTCATCGGAAGGATGGTGAGGAAATGGATCCGTCCATCAAGCTTCATCTGTCTAGCCCAAGATTATACTGATGAAAATGTTCGGATTTCTGGTGGTGTCTCATCATGCCACAAAGATGACCAGGGAAAGGGTCTGACTTGCCAGTGTAAGAGTTTGCACAATCGGGGGCTGGAGAGATAACACAGCAGGTAGGGCGTTTGCCTTGCACGCGGCCGACCCGGGTTCGATTCCCAGCATCCCAAATGGTCCCCTGAGTGCCAGGAGTAACTGCTGAGTGCAGAGCCAGGAGTAACCCCTGTGCATCACCAGGTGTTACCCAAAAAGCAAAAAATAAATAAATAAATAAAGAGTTTGCACAATTGAAGCATAAGGCAGCCTTGGGCTGTAAGTAGAATAGCATTCCTTCCAATTTTCCCAAGACCAGAATGCCACATTCTGGGGATACTCAGTTGAGTGCCTCAGATCACCTGATATGCCACATCTATTTATCGAGGTTGAAGTGCCAAGGCTGGGTGTGATCTATGTTTCAGACAGATCAGGGCCTGTAAGAGGTAAGAGTTGGTGCTAAGGTGGCCTACACACCACCATACACCCTCAAAACCTGTCTGTATCTGTAAATTCATCCCCTCCCTCCCTTGAGACTAGTTCTGCAAAATTAATATCTCTCAGAAGAGAGGGAGGTAAAACCAAGGAGAAAATGAAAAATGCCTGACACTACAGAGCTAATGGGTCCTCTGTGAAAAGAGTTTTAGGTTCTTAGAAAAAAATCCACACAGAGAATAATTCAAACATACACAAACTCATTTTTATCAAACAACTTAACTAATCCTTCAGTTACTGCATAGACAATCTAAACTCAAGGTTTGCACAAGTTTACTTACATTCCTTTGAAGCATTTCTGACACAAATCTGAAATAAAGCAAAAATTGGGAAGTTAAAAGGTTTAGTTTTTTAAATGGTGAAATAAGTTTTTTCAGCTAAGCTTTTGAAAGGGTAAAGCATGATCCTTCCATGTCCCAATTTCCAAGCAAACACTTCCAAAACAGCACACGTTTCACCACCTCTAATTAAAGAATAACAAGTAGCAATTACTCTGCTTTTTCATTTGCAGCCCAAGAGATGGAGTACAAAATCACAGGGAAAGAATTTTATCATCTAACATCAGCTCGGTTAGTCCAGAGTACTCAAGTCAATCCACTAGTTTAAGATCTGTTTAGGATAATTTGAAACTGTTATGCTCTGTAGGTATTAGAGTTGTGGGTTTCTGTGCACCTAGAAGTGTTTTAAAGCCACGTTTTTCTCTTCTCCTAATTTCCATGTATGGAAGTTATTCAGTCACACAAGATCATCATTATATGCATCGGGAGAGTCCTACTGGGCATGAATGTTAGAATAAAGCCGAAGGAATGACCTGGAGGTGGTTGTGAAATGAATTCTGAGGAGAGTGGAGAGCTTAAGAATTATATCTATATGATGGTAGAGCTATAGAGACTATAAAGTCATTCTGAGTGATCTAGCTGCAACTATGAGCTAGCCATAACTCCCTGTCTTCTGGCATTCCTTTGTTCCAGAATAGAATGAGAATCAAAGTTGATCATGAGCATAGACACAGACTCATAAAAAAGTTGTGCAGAAGCACATACATGCTTAGGGAATAGTACGTGCAACCCTCACTCCAGGGCCACGTGGTAATAAGTCTGCCCCCATTTCTGGAAGAATACACAAGGGAGGGAGGCCTGGAATAAATCTAAAAAATTTTCTTCTCTGTCTCTTGGTTATTGTGTGACCATGTAAATGATGGGTCTTCTAGTTATCTCTAGCTGTCCCATTACATTTTTCAGCAATACTCAAGGTATCATGGAAATACCATTAAAGAAACAAACAAACAGAAAAAGCAGTTAGAGGATCAGTAGGATATCTGAATATTATATAAAAAGAATAAAAATGAAGCTCATCCAAGGCAATAGTGTGACCTGCAATCAAAAGAGTAGTTGAAGGTTAAGCCAACATCACTTGAAGCAAATCAAGTATAGAAGTACAGAAGATCTGAGTCTATACTCCAGGACAGCAAGAGGGAAGATAATTTACTTCTTAAAAAGAATCTTTTGGAGTTAGAGAGAGACAGTACAAAAGGAAGGTGTATGTCATGCATCTGGTTGACCACAGTTCAATTCCCAGCCTGAACACAGAGCCAGGAATATTCTATGGGCACTGCTGGATATGAGAGAAGAAGAAGAAGAAAGAAGAAAGAAGAAAGAAGAAAGAAGAAAGAAGAAGAAGAAGAAGAAGAAGAAGAAGAAGAAGAAGAAGAAGAAGAAGAAGAAGAAGAAGAAGAAGAAGAAGAAGAAGAAGAAGACAAAGGAGGACTGGAGTCGTAGTACAGCGGATAGGGTGTTTGCTTGCACACATCACCTCCAGGAGTAATTCCTGAGTGCAAAGTCAGGAGAAACCCAATCCCTGTGCATCACTGGGTGTGACCCAAAAAAGCCAAAAAAAAAAAAAAAGGACAAAGGAACCCTTCATTTAGCAGATGGTTTTACCTAGGATTCCTACCATAAATTCCCAGAGGCTTTAAAATCTAATGTGATAAATACAATGCTTTTTTCCTTTCTCTTTCTTTCTCTTTCCTTCCTTTCTCTCTTTCTCTCTTTCTCCTTTTCTCCCTTTCTCCTTTTCTCCCTTTCTCTTTCTTTCTTTCTTTCTTTCTTTCTTTCTTTCTTTCTTTCTTTCTTTCTTTCTTTCTTTCTTTTTTCTCCCTCCTTCCTTCCTTCCTTCCTTCCTTCCTTCCTTTCTTTCTTTCTTTCTTTCTCTCTTTCTTTCTTTCTTTCTTTCTTTCTTTTCTTGACCACTTGACCATATGGGATGCCGTGGATCAAACCCAGATTGGCTACATGCAAGGTGAATCCCTTCCCCACTGTCCTATTGCTCCAGTCCCAATAATGATTTCTTTTTTAAGAATCAGATCTTTTTCCTCAAATCATGCAAAACCCATGCAGGGACACAGACTTGCACTCCAGGTAAGGCTGAGTGTTACCTGCCCTACATTTCCACACCCTTCAGCTCAGCAGAGGACGTGTCCACAGACAAAACAAAGCAATCCTACCTTTCTGTTTCCTTGACTGATTCCTCGGTGGTCTCCTTGTATTCTGGAATACTGTTGTTCAGATCCATGCAGACTTTGCCCACAAATGCACGCTGCCCAAACTTATCTGTGAGGCACCACAAAAGACATTTAAATCAGGTATCTTTCCCAAACAGTACCTTTCCCGAACCTTTCCCGAAAGACCTTTCAAATAAAAACCAGGATGAAGATGTAAGGATGTAAAAGTCATCAAACTATTTAAGAACAGCAGCAACAATAATGCTCTCCTAAGTTCTGTCAGTAGTGAAGGGTTTTCCATGGATTCTTCATTCTCTGACTTACTCCCAGAATGCTAAATACTAAGTTTTTAAGGTCTAAGACCACTTATAGCAGTATTCTACCTAAAAGAGGGTATTAAAAATATGTCCAATAATGTATATTAAGTGTCTAACACAGAATTTTGAAAAGATACTATTATTCCTTAGGTAAAGGTAAAGGTAAAGGCCCTCCCGTTGATCGTCGATTTGCTCGAGCGGGCCCAGTAACGTCTCCATTGGAGACTTTGTTGTTACTGTGTCTGGCATATCGAATACTCTCGGTAGCTTGCCGGGCTCTCCGAGAGGGGCGGAGGAATCGAACTCGGGTCGGCCATGTTGGCCGCTTGTAAGGCGAACGCCCTACCCGCTGTGCTATCGCTCCAGCCCCTCGCCCGTCACGCAACTATTATTCCTTAATTTTTTTAAATTTTAGGCTCCATGGTTGACAAAATTATTTACTTATAGGGTTTATACAAAAAATATTGAGCACCACATACTCCATCAGAGGGTCCACTTCCCGTCACCATTTTCCCAGTGTCCCCTGTGCCCCGTTGATATCCCCTGTGCTAAGTTTCCCACTGAAGTCCAGTTCTCAGTTTTTGTTCCCTTTCAGCGTTTATTATTCCCCAACTACGATAGCACAGCGGGTAGGGCGTTTGTCTTGCACACAGTCAACCTGGGTTCGATTCCTCTGCCCCTCTCGCAGAGCCCGTAAGCTACCGAGAGTATCCCGCCCACACAGCAAAGCCTGGCAAGCACCCCGTGGCATATTCGATATGCCAAAAACAGTAACAACAAGTCTCACATTGGAGACGTTACTGGTGCCTTCTCAAGCAAATTGATAAACAATGGGAGGACAGGACAGTGCTACAGTGCTACAATCTTTTATAGCCTACATATGAGAGAGATCATTCTGTGTCTGCCCCTTTTCTTCTAAATAACTTCACTCAGCATGATACACTCCAGGTCCGTCCACATAACTGTTACTGCTGTTTTGTTTTGGTTTTCTTTTATTTATTTTAGTTCTTTTTTCCTTTTCTGTCTTTATTTCTGTTTGTTTGTTTGTTCTGGGGCCACATCTGACTGTGCATAAGAGCTTACTGCTGGCTCCGTGTTCAGGTACTCCTGGCAGGGCTCAGCAGACCCAAGCAGGTGCCGAAGGGTTATTATTATTATTATTGTTGTTGTTGTTGTTATTATTTTGCTTTTTTGGTTCACACCCAGCGATGCACAGGGCTGACTCCTGGCTCTGCACTCAGGAATTACTCCTGGCAGTGCTCAGGGGACCATATGGGTTGCTGGAAATCGAACCCGGGTTGGCCGCGTGCAAGGCAAACGCCCTACCCACTGTGCTATCTATCACTCCAGCCCAGGTGTCGAAGATTTAATCCCAGGTTGGCCATGTGGAAGGCAAACTCCTTACTTGATGTACTATCTCTCTGCTCTTAACTGTTACTATTCTTTTTTGGGGGGGTGGGGAGGCAGTTAAGATTGGGCAATACCTAATACTTCTCAGGGATTACTTCTGGCTCTGCAGTCAGGAATTACACCTGGAGGTTCTTGAGAGACCATAATGGAAAGCTGGGGACTGAACCTGGGTCGGTGGCGTGCAAGGCAAACACCCTACTTTCACTCTGACCCCCTACTATTCTTAACTATAGAAATGTCAGTATTGTTTTGGGGGAGCATTCTAGCAGCCCTCGGCTTTAAGCAAAGTCACTGTCACTGTCACTGTCCTCCCATCGTTCATTGGTTTGATGGAGCGGGCCCAGTAATGTCTCCACTGTTACAATTGTTAACTGTGTTTGGCATATCGAATACGTCACGGGTAGCTTGCCAGGATTTGCCGTGCGGGTGAGATGCTCTCGGTAGCTTGCCAGGCTCTCAGAGAGGGGCAGAGGAATCGAACTCGGGTCGACCACATTGGCTGCATGCAAGGCAAATTCCCTACCCACTGTGCTATCGCTCCTGCCCCTTAAGCAAAGTAATCCTCATTAAGACATCAGGGGAATCCTGTTTCAGCTAGAAAGCTGAAGCTACGTGGAACACTGATTGGTTTTTTTAGTGTTTGTTCATTTTGATAATATTTCCACATCTGTCATAAGAGTCTTTCAGAGGTCTCTTTTCCTCTCTCTTTCCCCTATTAAATTCACTTTAATATCTCGTCATTAAATTATTCTTCCTTAAAAAAACTGAAACACATAACTTACTGATTCAAAACCATCTTTGAATCTTTGCTGCACATCCAAATCACTCCAAGATCTAAGGCAACATTTCTCAACTGGAAGTCAGATGGCTCCCAGGGAGCCCCCAGAATAGCTCAGGGACTTCAAGTGAAAATCTGCATTGGTGGGCGGGAGAGGGGTGGGGCGTAGGTGTACATGGCACAAGACTTGAGGTCAACCAGTGGACAGTTGGCACAGGAAGACCACAGGTAGAGAAACACTGGCCTTTTTTGCTTTTGTTTGTTTGTTTGTTTTTGTCATCACTCCCAGCAATGCTCAGGGCTTACTCCTGAAGATGCAGAATAAACTCGGGGTCAGCCACATGCCAGGCAAATGCCTTTTCCCCTGTACTAACTCTTCAGCCCCAAAGCAGCTGATCTGAACTATCCCATCTGTCCAACCTCTTCTTCCATCACATCCACTTCTCCTCCCCTCGACTATTCTGCCTCTGGCTTCCCCAAGTCTCCTCCTGTCCCTAATACCTGTGCCAAGTCCTTTCCGCTAGCTGAAAGGTATTTTCGTCTTTGCCCATTTTATCTTCCCTTTAATGCCTCGTTGAAAGTCCTCTTTCATGAATTTTCTTGATGACCCATTTCTGACTTCTCTCTGTGTCCTCTTGAATAGCAATACTTATTTTCAGAGTCACTCCTCAGGACTTTGGTATAAACTGCTTTGGTCAGGAAGTAGTAATGTCAATTATTTTTACTGAGCACCTATTATGCTCTAGGCACTGTTCTGGAAATCAATGCTGGATTCATTGATCTAAACTCTGTCTAGCTGTGCTTACCTGCTATGTGACTTAAGCACATTACACAACATCTCTGACCTTCAACTTATACACCAGAACATGAAAACATTACTAATCCCAAGGGTGCTTTCAGTTGAACTAAAATAATTCACGTAAAGTGCTTTGAACAGAGCCAAGTACCTAGTAATATCTGCTCAGAAGCAACTAATCAATATCATTGGTTATTGACCAGTCATTCTGTCTGCCTCAAGGACAGAGGCTATTTTCTCTTTCACATGTTACCAACATCTAATACATTTCCCTGAGTTTGGATTACACCCAAGACATGTCTGTTGATTATGAAACAGTTGCCTCAGAATTTACAAACCATCTCCCAAAGTCCTAAATTAATACACAAATCCATATCCGTACACGTCTTTCTGGGAAATCATAAATAAATAATCAGATCACTTCAAATTACAATGGCAAGAAATAGCACGGGTTCGATCCCTGGCACTCCATATGGTCCCCCAGTACCACCAGGAGTGACCTTTGAGTGCAGAGTCAGGAGTAAGCTCTGAGCACCACCGTGTGTAGTGCAAAAGCAGGAGCCAAAAGAGAGAAATCCAACATTCAAATCCTAGCAATTAAAGGGCAGACTGCTCCCAAGAGCTGTTCCCAGGCACGGTCTGCCCATCTTTACTCGATGTTCCTATAAATCCTGCTTTCATCTCCTTACCTGTAATTTCCGCAAGAAGCAGGGATGAGTCAGTGTGAATTGTTCCAAAGTAACAAGCTGTGGTCGTTCCATTCTTTAGTGTTCTCCTCTAAAAATAAATCACAAAAACTCATGAATCGTGTGTGCCCAAAAGAGTCACATGGCAAATACAGATGAAAATAGAATTCTAGTTCTTAATTTTAAAATGCTTTTATTTCAAGTTATGCCATCTTGATAAGAAATACAGCGAGGGTAAATGGCAAATCTATTTATATTCTAAAAGTGTTGGTTGGAGGAGAAGTTGATACTTAAAATTTCCTAAATTCACACAGTTCTGTGTTACATGATTCTTAAAATGTGTTGTTAATTCTTTCATTATTTTTTATGGATTATTTAAGGATAGCCAAACTTAACGGCATCTGGAAGTGAATAAACGGGATTTTTCTATCTATTCCAAAACATTCTCCAAGCGGATTTCTAGTGCAACCTAGCAGATCTATCATATAGAGCTCTCTCCCTTTCTTAGAAAATTCTCACTAAAATAAAAGAGTACAAGGGCCAGTGAAATGGCTCAAAGGGCTGAAGTACATGTACTGCATGTAGGAGGTTCAGTTTTGGTTCCTGGTACTACATCGTCCCCCAAGCATCAAGCTAGGAAACACTATAGCAATACCAGGTATGAGCTGCTCCTCCCAAAAAATTTTTTAAGGGACAAAGAGTGCTGATGCTTGTCTTGCACATAATCAGTCCCTGTTGCCACATATAGTCCCAGAGCACTGCCCAGAGTGATTCCTAAACACAGAACCAGGAGTACATCCTGAGCATCACTGGGCATGGTCCAAAATCCTACCCTCCCCCACTAAATACTATTTTGTTTGTGTGTGTGTGTGTGTGTGTGTGTGTCTGTGTGTTTTAATTTTTATTAGTGAGACGTCATGAGGTACAGTTGTAGACTTACAAATTTTTGTGCTTGGGTTTCAATTATACAATGATCAAATACCCATCCCTCCACCAGTGCCCATTTCCCACCACCACGAATCCCAGTATCCCTCCCAACTCCCATCCCCCCCTTCCAACCCTGTCTCTGTGGCAGGGCATTCCCTTTTGTTCTCTCTCTCCTTATGGGTGCTGTGGTTTGCAAAAGAGGCAATGGGTGGCAATCATGTTTGGTCTATAGTCTACTTTCAGCATGCTTCTCCCATCCTGGGAGGATCCTCCCAACACCATTTATTTGGTGTTCCCTTCTCTATCTGAGCTCCCTTTTCCCCTAGCATGTGTGGTTGGTCTCCAAGTCATGGAATAAAATTCCTGGTACTAATCTCGGCCATTCTTGGGTGTTAGTCTCCTATTTTGTTATTTTATGTTCCCCAGATGAATGCAATCTTTCTATGTCTATCTCTTTCTTTCTGAGTCATTTCGCTTAACCTGATACTTTCCATCTAAATACTATTTTGTCCACAAGAAAAATATAAAAGGGAAGCCTGAGCAGAGAGAAAATTTTACTGTCTTCCTAGAAGACAAAAAATAAAAAAAATAAAATAAAAAAACCCAGGGATTTGGACCTGAAAGCAATTGAGGGGTAAAAAAAAAAAAAAAAAAAAAAAAAGAGAGAGAGAAACAAGCAGTTGTCAACAAGGGAACTGGCTGCAATTCTGTACACAGATCACTAAACCCAGGTGGGATCCTTCTCCTTCTTGTTGTCACCAACTGTGAGGCCCAAAAGTAAGCTCCTCAGCAGCCACAACAAGCTGTAGCTAACATTTAGTCTCAACGAGGCCTCAGTTTCTGTTTCCCTGGATCAAGACTTGCAGTTTCCGGTAGACTCCCAGTTGAGTAACATGCCGAGATAAGGAATTGGGCAATTGGGTCTGGGAGGTCGTGAAGGGTCACTGCATGCTCCTTAGAAACTATTGCTGGGCTGGAGCAATAGCACAGTGGGTAGGGCGTTTGCCTTGCACACAGCCAACGTGGCCAACACAGGTTCGATTCCCAGCATCCCATATGGTCCCCCGAGCACCGCCAGGAGTGATTCCTGAGTGCAGAGCCAGGAGTAACCCCTGAGCATTGCCGGGTGTGACCCCAAAAGCAAAAAAAAAAAAAACTATTGCTAACCATTGCCTAATTGCAGACCACCAATATAATAGGGCCGATGCTAAAAATAGACCAGTACATAAATTGCCTCTTAGCTCTGACCCTTATATAAACTGCTTGTGATTTGGAGTCGGGGTCCTTGTCAAGACTCCACTGCATTGAATGAGATGTGGACCCTAGCTCGAGCTAGCGCTGGCTTGGGCCAGTAATAAAGTTCCTTGGCTTCTGCATTATCCTGTGTGGACTTGGTCTCTCTGCAATTGGGAAACTCGGGGACAACACAATAAACCCTAACCTGTTCCTTGCAGAAGAGATCAAATTTTTGTCAAAACCAGGTGACACTGAGAGGGTACAAGTCCTGAAAGACAAGGCAAGGCATAGGTGGAAGAGGGTTAAAGGTTAAATGAAAACTTGCCTGAAGGGGTCCCAGAGTGATAGCACAGTGGGTAGGGCGTTTGCCTTGTATGCAGCTGTCCTGGGTTCAATCCCTGGCATCCCGTAAGGTCCACCCCTGCATCACCAGGAGTAATTCCCGAGTGCAGAGCCAGGAGTGAGCTGATGCTCAGATGTGGCCCAAGAAGTAAAAAAACAAAAAATAAAAAAACAGGGGCTGGAGCAATAGCACAGTGTGTAGGGTGTTTGCCTTACACGCGGCCAACCCGGGTTCAATTCCCGGCATCCCATACGGTCCCCTGAGCATCACCAGGAGTAATTTCTGAGTGCAGAGCCAGGAGGAACCCCTGTGCATTGCCTGGTGTGACCCAAAAAGCAAAAATAAATAAATAAATAAATAAATAAATAAAAACTGGCTAATCACTGTCCACACAATGACATTATAGATCCAAAAGGCTATTAATTACCTTCCCAGTTCATCCCATAATGAAATTCACTATCCCCACCCACCCAGATTTTCCAGTCATGGACCATCACACTTAAATATGAATATAAGCTATTCCAGGTTTAGCAGATGTTGGAAGAAAACTATTATCAAAAGAAGAAAAGGAAGGAAAAACCCCAAAACAAAGGGGGAGGGGAAGAAAGAATATGGAGAAAAATCTTGAACGATAGAGGTTAACTTTATGGTCCGAATGAAATTTAATAAAAGCAAACAAACAAAACCCAGGATTGGTATTCTCAGATAAATAAGATAAATAAGATTACATCCACAAAACAAGAACAGAATGCCATGGAAATCAGAAAACAAGAGCTCTGTAAAAGTAAAAATCTATCACTACACTTGGGAAAAAGAGTCATAGAAGAGATGAGAAGAGAATTTCCCAGGGCGGAAGAATTATCCAGGCTTAAAATAATAGGGCAGAACCTGCTTTGTGTGAGAGAGCAGTGTCCTACTTAGTTTCAGACAATTTGCTTTTTTGAAGAAGCAAATGAGATGCTGGTGATGCCACTTAGTGCCAAAGGTTGAGAGAGTTTGGAAATATGAATTTTATGCCAATATTTTCAAATGCTAAAGCACTTTTGCACATGAAATAACATATGCCTTGCTGCCAGCCAGTTGTTTCAAATTCTCTGAGCCACACTCAAGGAAAAATTCTATCAGAATCACAATCCAGAAAAAAAAAAAAGCTAGAATTATTACAGAGGCACAAATTGAATTCAACCTCCAACAAGTAGGATCTGCTTGGATCTCAGTAGGCTCTAAGCAAACACTTATTAAAAGAGCACTGGTGGAAGGATTAGCCACAAGAGACAGAAAATGAACTGAAATGAGTCCCTTCAGATCAACAGAATTGCTATTTGAACAGTAAGGTGAATTAATGGCTTGCAAAATTGAGCATTGCCATTCTCTGAGGATGGAGCACAAAAGTGAGTACAAAAGAGAAAGAGAGAGAGAGACAGACAGACAGAGAAAGAGAATTTCCTATAATGGAAGAAAAAATGATCTCTTGAGAAAGCACTATACATTAAAGAAAATGATTTTTGGGGGGCTGGAGAGATAGCACAGTGGGTAGGGCGTTTGCCTTGCATGCAGCAGACCCAGGTTCGATTCCCAGCATCCCATATGGTCCCCTGAGCACCGCCAGGAGTGATTTCTGAGTGCAGAGTCAGGAGTAACCCCTGTGCATTGCCGGGTGTGACCCAAAAAGAAAAAAAAAGATTTTTTTAATGTATAAGTGAAATTTTATAAACCCCTAAAGGCCAGTAAATGAGATAAGAGGGAGAATCAGATTGATAATGTCAAGTCAGCGAGCAAAGCACTTCAAGAGTCTGACTCTAGACTATAATCTGCATCGGCAACTCTCAACTGGGGAGTCATACCTGATCTTCGCTGCAAGGCGGCCACTGCACAGGTAGAATCACATAAATGGGGGTTCAGGATAAGATTTGAGGGCCAATTGGTAGGATAGGGGTCACAGGAAGGAAACAAGGTCGGAAGGGGGCTTGGTTGGGAAAAGGTTAAGAGACTCTGGACTGTATAACATATTCATTTCTGAGATTCCCTAGTTTCTTTATTTCAGCTCAGTCTGATTTTTCATTTCATTTTCATTTCATCATCCTGTTATTCGTCGATTGCCTCGAGCAGGCCCCAGTAACGTCTCTTTCATCCTAGCCCTGAGATTATATTCAAGGCTCTTTAGGAGAATGAGACCCACCATTGTTACTGGTATTTGGCATATTTGGTATGCCACAGGGAGTTTGCCAGACTCTGCCCTGTGGGCAGGCTACATTCGATAGCCTGCAAGTTTGTCCAAAGTAGGAATGAGATAATAAGATGTCATAAAAGATGTCCTGATAAGATGTCGCAAGGCCATGACATCTTATCTGATTTACAACTGCAATATCCTGCCAAATTTGTGATATTTAAAGGAGGATAATCTAAATTTGACTTACCAGGATTTTTAGCAAGCAAGAGCTATTTACTAACATATATTTCAATTTGTTAATTTACCTTTGCTTGAAGCTACAGATTGTATCCTGCCCCCACGGCAGAGCCTGGCAAGCTACCGTGGCATATTCGATCTGCCATAAACAGTAACAAGTCTCACCATGGAGACATTACTGGCGCCCGCTGGAGCAAATCGAGGAACAACGGGAAGACAGTGCAGTGCATCTTTGTTTGGGGGAAAGTCACAGACGGGGGATGGGGAGAGTGGGAGGGAAACTGGGGGCATTGGTGGTGGGAAATGTCCACCGGTGAAGGGATGGGTGTTGGACATTATATAACTGAAACCAATCATGAACAACTCTATAACTATATTTCACTGTGATTCAATTAAAAAGATTTAAAAAAGAAAAAAAGAGACTGAGTTTCTTGAAAGAGATGATATATATTCAGAGGCTTCAGTGCTCACAGGACAGACACGGTTCAATGATTAACTAGCTCCATAGCTCCCTCCAGTGGTGGTCATGCTCTTCCAATTCCCACGGAATTGCTATACGGATCCCTCTTTTCTCCCTCCAGGCAAAACTCCTAATACAATGTGATATTATCCCAACTTAATTTGAAATTTTATTTATTTATTTTTGGTTGATGTATTTATTGCATTTATTAGAACAGAACCATAACATCATGTTTCCATTATAAACATGTGCTTTCTATGCAGAAGAGTGAAACCTTTATAAAAATTATTAATTATCCCAGTATCACATCCTTTTTAGCCTTGGACAAATAGATATAACCTCTCTGAACTTGTTTTTTCACCCAAAGAAACTCTCAAACTTTGGTGTGTACAACAAATACATGGAGAGAAAATGAAGCATCTGGACTTCCACGCACACTGCAACAGACTGGAGCTGGGGGGACTAGGAATCCTATTTCAAATTTTCCTCGTGTATTAATTTGAAATTTTAATTTCCACGGGTGGTTTTACAAGCAAGCACGAGAGCCCACGCCATGTGTCCATGTGTCGGGCACTATTCTAAGAACCTCACAAATATTAGCTTGTTAAATTATCATAACAATCCTATGAAGTGAGTACTATCATTATCTTTCTTTTCTCTTTTTACAGATGGGGAAAATGAGTCACAAAATTTTCCAAAGCTATTCCATATGGTCCCCAGAGCAGCATTTAGATTGGTAGTGGTAAGAGAATACACATGCTAATTAAACTCACATTTAGGGGGCTGGAGAAAAAATTTGACAGTCTGTGCACATACGTTTAATCTCTGGCACCACAGAAGTTTCCCCAAGTGCTATTAGGGCCTGGCCCTGAGGAAATAGCCCGAAATAGCCCCTGGGCACCACCAGGTATGGCCACAAAGCCAAAAAATCAAGAAGCTCTCCTTATACACTTGCACACAATAAAATAAAACAGAATTAGAAGAAAGAATAATTGGGGCTGGAGCGATAGCACAGCGGGTAGGGTGTTCGCCTTGCATGCAGCCGACCTGGGTTCGATTCCCAGCATCCCATATGGTCCCCTGAGCACCGCCAGGAGTAATTCCTGAGTGCATGAGCCAGGAATAACCTCTGTGCATCGCCGGGTGTGACCCAAAAAGCAAAAAATAAAAAAAGAAGAAGAAAGAATAATGAAAATCCATTAGAGTGACGATTTAAGACTTTGCATTCAAGTTTTGTCTTTGCTCTTAACGAGCTGTGTAGGTAAAGTCACAAACACACTGAACTGTAAAGAAGTGGGAAAAAGTTCTCCACAATTCATTCTAGTCTTAACTTTCTCTGCTTATAAATTTCAATTTGCCCCAAGAAGCAAACATTTCTAAGACAATGGATCATAGTGCACCAATATTCATCAGCAGGATACTTACAACGACTCTTGTGTATACTTCTTCTGCGAAGTCAATGCTCTGAAATCTTTGTTCTGTAGGAAATGTGTACTTGGTTAACCACTCCAAAAGCGGCAGGTCAACATTACAGCCAGCAAAGGAATACTGTGGGGCATGGATGTGTGTATCAACCAGCCCAGGCATGAAGAACTCACTGGAAATTAAGATGAGAGGGAAAAACATTTAATAACATCTTTAGTCATTTTCCATATCTTTAAATCACGTTTTCTCTCAACAATGATTTAATTGTTCACCCCACACAAAGTTAGAGCTGGTGCAATCATACAACTGTAAATCCTCTTATTATTTAGAGACCAGGGAATAAACACGAATGAAGCACTACAGGAGAGTTACATCCTTAAAGTGGGAAGGCTGTCATGACCTTAACCAAGGCTGAAGAAGGACAGCACTGAGGGTCGAAGAGAGGGTTCAAAGGGCTGAACACATGCTCTGTGAGCAGAAAACTTCTGCGTTGGGAATTCTCTCTGTGTCATTTTATTTGTGGGAGGCAGATTTCTAGAACCACAGAGTGCCCGGACTAGAACCCGGAGAAATTCCTGAATACAAAGCAGGGTGAAGCCCCAGGTGTGGCACTAAAACAAACGAACAAAGAAACCAACAGTAGTGCAGAGAAGCAAAGTGATCGTTACACAATAAGTGAGTATAGATCACAACAAGTGAAGCTTTGATTTCATCCTATGAATTTGTTCTCACAAGTGGGGGTTGTAGGACAGAGAAAAAGATGATAAAAGCTTCAAAAAGTCTCAAGCAATGTTGGGGAACTACATAGATCACCAAGAATGACTGAAGATGAGAAACAGAATGGGCTGGAGCGATAGCACAGCGGGTAGGGCGTTTGCCTTGCACCCAGTGGAGCTGGGTTCGATTCCTCCGCCCCGCTCGGAGAGCCTGGCAAGCTACCGAGAATATCTCGCCCGCATGGCAAAGCCTGGCAAGCTACCCATGATGTATTCAATACACCAAACACAGTGACAAGTCTCACAATGTTACTGGCCCGCTAGAGCAAATAAATAGATGAACAACGGAAGGACAGTGATAGAGTGATAGAGAGAAACAGAATGGACACAATTGTAGACTCAATGGCCATCATAAGTGGACTGATTGTTCACTGATGTCTATTAAATGTCAGACCTCACGTCGAGTGTGGTTAAAGAACAGTATCCATCACCACAGCCACCGTCTTGAGTAATTATTAATCTATTTCTATTTTACTTGTGACGTAAGGAGCTTCCACTCAAACTTGACATTAAAAGAATACCTTAGACCACCAGTTCAAGTTACATACTTGAGTGGAAGAAAGCAGCATTGTGGGGAGCTGTGACTATTTTACTTTGGAAAGCTGAGAACTAGAATGGAGAGAACGAGGATGGTGACATCGGGTGATGTGACGGACGGCACATCTCTGTGCTTGCATGGGCGCTGGGTCAAGCATTCTGTCTATGTCATTTCATTTGTGGGAGACAGTTTATTATAGAGGTTAAGGACATATATTTTTATGCTGGAGTGATAGCACAGAGGGTAGGGCGTCTGCCTTGCACGCAGCCAACATGGTCGACCCGAGTTCGATTCCTCCGCCCCTCTCCGAGAGCCTGGCAAGCTACCGAGAGTATCTCGCCCGCATGGCAGTGCCTGGCAAGCTCCCCGTGACGTATTCGATATGCCAGACACAGTAACAACAAAGTCTCCAATGGAGACGTTACTGGGCCCGCTCGTGCAAATCGATGATCAATGGGAGGGCCTTTACTTTACTTTATTTATTTAAATCAGTGATATATACAGTTACAAAATTGAGTTTCAGTCATACAATGTTCCAATACCTCTCTCTCTCTCTCTCTCTCTCTCTCTGTCTCTCTCTCTCTCTTCACCAGTGTACATTTCCCACCACCAATGTCCCCAGTTTCCAGTTTCCCTTCTGTCCCTTTCCCCCTGCCTACCTCTATGCTACCTCTATGGCAGACACTTTACTTCTCTCTCTCTCTCTCTCTCTCTTTTTATTTTTGGGTCACACCCAGCAATGCACAGGGGTTACTCCTGGCTCTACACTCAGGAATTACTCCTGGAGGTGTTCAGGGGAACATATGGGATGCTGGGAATTGAACCCGGGTCGGCTGCATGCAAGGCAAATGCCCTACGCGCTGTGCTATTGCTCCAGCTCCTCCCACTTCTCTCTCTCATTTCTTTTTCTCTTTCCTCTCTTCTTTTTTTTTTAATTTTTATTAGTGAAACACCATGAGGTACAGTTGTAAACTTACAAGTTTTTGTGCTTGGGTTTCAGTTATACAATGATCAAATGCCCATCCCTTCACCAGTGCCCATTATCCACCACCACGTGTCCCAGCATCCCTCCCACCCTGCCTCTGTGGTAGGGCATTCCCCCTTGTTCTCTCTCTCTCTCTCTCTCCTATTGGGTGTTGTGGTCTGCAAAAGAGGCATTGAGTGGCAATCATGTTCGGTCTATAGTCTACTTTCAGCATGCTTCTCCCGTCCTGGGAGGATCCTCCCAACACCTTTTATTTGGTGTTCCCTTCTCTATCTGAGCTCCCTTTTCCCCCAGCACGTGTGGCTGGCCTCCAAGTCATGGAGCAAAATTCCTGGTACTAATCTCGGCCACAACCTTTCCTCTCTTCTTTCCTTTCATTCTTGACTCAGACTTCCTGGCTTTGAATTGAAGATTGAGGTTCCATTGTGAAAGAGAGAGGGTTCTTCAAAATGGTAACCAACCCCCATGACTCACTTTCCCTCTATATAAAATAGAGATAGCAGCAGTACCAGAGATCTGTTGTGAGGACTGACTAAATGTGTGTCAGCTCAGTACCTGGATTGGAAAGGATAATAAAAAGTGAGCAGTAAGGTGTAACGCTCACATTAAACTGATATGCAGTGTAATGATCCTCTTTGCAAAAGAGAAATTGGCAGTTCAGAAATGGAACATTGCTTTTTTATGTAGTTAACAATGGCGCCAAGACTCAGACCCAGGCAATTTACCTTTAGTACTCTAGGTCACTACTCTCTTTGTGTCAGAACAGTTCATTCACTCTGGAAATCAGAAATAGAGTAATCTGTGCAACAAACAAGTGGTGTTAAAATGGGTCTACAATGTGGGAACCGTGTAGAAAAGGAACATAAAATGTGAATTCCTCTCAACTGTAGCCACTGACCTTTGCAGGAGACTTTGGTCTTTGGGACCAAAGGTTTTCTGTCATAAGTGGAATAGTGCTATATCTTCTTCGTGTAGTTAAATTTGTAGTTTGAATTGTTCAGCTAAATATTTCCCAATTACCCATTAAGTTTGAGTAAAGTATGCTAAGCCTGCAGGGAGTTCAGAGAGAAATAAAATGTATTGTTTTTATAAGAGAAATTATAATTATTGAAAACTTAGGGATGAGGAAAGGTGTGTGTGTGTGTGTGTGTGTGTGTGTGTGTGTGTGTGTGTGCATGTGTGTGTGTGTGTGTGTGAGAGAGAGAGAGAGAGAGAGAAAGAGAGAGAGAGAGAGAGTAGGTTTCAAGAGAGATGGAGAATACGAAAGGTTTGGGCCAGAGAGATAGTAGGGTGTTTGCCTTGCTTGCCTTGATGCTGCATGTTCAATTCCCAGAATCCCTCATGGTCCCCTGAGCCTGACAAGTAATCACTGAGCACAGAGCCAGGAGGTAAATCCTGCACACAGCTTGATAGGATTTTTATCAATCAAAACGTAAAATAAATAAAAAGGCTTTTAAGAGAGATCTTGAATACAGTCATGTGTCACTTAATGAAGTCTATAACAAAGCACAGACCATGATGGTCTAAGAGATAATACCATATAGAAAAGGTATGCAGTAGATTATAGCTCAAGTTCCTATAATTACTCTATGACGTTTGATGAAATCTCCCAATGACACAGTACTCAGAACATTACATTGTTGTTAAGTGAAACGTGACCATATTCAATTTAGCAGATTAAGTGCGTTTATTACTCTGTTTCCCAGAAGGATGGGACTTGAGAATATTTTTCCATTGTTTTGGCTTTCTTTGGCATAAAACTATGACATATTGAACCTTAAGTTTAGGAAGATGTCTCTGATGGTGGTACACGTATATTGGGAGACACTTTCAATCTTGCAAGTTTCTGAATAAAAATGTTAGTGAAAAAAAGATGAATACAAGAGAAAAGACTTGAGCTTTTACTTGGAGTTTGAAGAATCAAAGAATAGGAATAAATCAGAAGGTAAATTTTTTGAGTGTGTGAGGCTGAACTTATGACATAAACTACAGAGAACTTAGAGGGAACGTGATTTTTGAAGGAGTGGTGACATCATACTGAGCCTCAAGTCAAAAGTATGACCTTTAAGAGTTGGTGCAAAGAAATAGATTTGAGGGAAATGGAGAGCTGGGAGGGGCCACTGGGATTTTAGTGGAGGATGTGGGCCCTCTGGTGTGTGTCTAGTGGTGTTAGAACAATGTATGCATGAAACTGTCATTAGCAATACTTTAAATTACAGCAGTCAACAAAAAATACTTTTCTATAAAAGTATGGCAGGGCCTGGAGTGATAATACTGCAGGTAGGTTGCTTGCTTTGCATGTGACTGACCTGGGTTCAATCCCCAGCATCCCATATAGTCCTCTAAGATCTATCAGGAGTAATTCTTGAGCCAGGAGTAATCCCTAACCATCACAAGGTGTGGCCCCAAAACAAACAAAAAATATATTTCCATGGGAATGGGGGGTACAGAAGGTTTTTTGGAACACTGGTGGAGGGAGGAAAGCAGGTCCTCTGGGGTGTGAGAATGACGTAGCCATGAAAAGTAGAATTAATTGTATTGCACATCCCAGTACCGTAATGAAAAAATTGTGAAAAGCATTTCTATATTATAGAAGAAATCAGACTATGAAGAGAGTGGACCAATCACAGGAAACAAACACATTTTTGTACACTTAAGAATGTGTTGACAGTAGCTTGGCAGAAGATAAAATCATAGCTCAGACACACTTTTGGAGACAATTCTAAAACCAAGATGTCAGTTAGTGCTATCAAATTCCCCTGCACTCTCCTCCGCCAGACTGCTTACAGACAGTCCAATTATCAATACCCTGCTTAATTATCTCTGTACTTGTTCACATTATGTATTTCTTTAGGCTATAAACCCATTAAAGCAAGGACTTGATAGATCCTTTTCTTCTCCATATTCAAGTCCTTATACATAGAAAACAAATAACAAATGTTTATTTGCTCAAGAAATTAGAGAGAAGTCTCTTGTTATCAAACATTCCTTCAGTTTTCTTTTCTATGTACCTTGTATTTCCTTTAAAAGCCCCCCAAAAAGTTAAATAAAAGTCTCTGTTTCTTGGAATTGAAGCAATAGTATAGCGATTAGGGCATTTGTCTTGCATGTGGCCAACTTGGGTTGATTCCCAGCATCCCATATGATACCCTCAAGCATTGCCTGGAGTAATTCCTGTGTGTAAAGCCAGGAGTAAACCCTGTGCATTGCCGGGTGTGACCAAAAAGGAAAAGAAAAAAAAAAGGCTCCATTTCTCACGTTAGTTTCTTACCATTGGACCTAGTTCATGATGCCCAGAAATATCAAAGAAAGCTGTTACTTACTGGTGGCTCAGTTCTCTTATCTCACATGGCTTGAAGGACCATTCTTTGGCCAGTCTTTCTTGTTGCGACGCTTCTTCTAAAAACACTATCTTTAAAAGAAAGAGCAAAGAATAAAACATTAACAAGTTACTGTAATTTTTTTCATGTTTTCTTTTTATTTATTTATTTTAATTTTATTGAATCACCGTGACATAGTTACAAGCTTTCATGTTTGGGTTACAATCGCACAATGATCAAACACTCATCCCTCCACCAGGGCACATTCCCCACCACCAATATCCCTGGTATAACCCCCCTTTCCCACCCTCCTCTGCCTCCATGGCAGATATGATTCCCCATAATCTCTCTCCACTTTTGGGCATTATGGTTTGCAACACAGACCCTGAGAGGTTATCATGTTTGGTCCTTTATCTACTTTCTGCACACATCTCCCATCCTGACTGATTCCTCCAGCCACCATTTTCTTAGTGATCCCTTCTGTATTCCAGCTGCCTTCTCCCCTTTGCTCATGAGGCAGACTTCCAGCTATGGAGCAGTCTACCTGTCCCATGTATCTACTATCCTTAGGTGTCAGCCTCATGTTATGTTGTTTTATACTCCACAAATGAGTGCAGTCCTTCTATGTCTGTCTCTCTCAAGTTACTGTAATTTGCTCTTACTAAATATCTAAATCTTTTAAAGAAACTGTGCCATAAATTTAATCAATTTTAAAAGGTATCTGGTACTAAATGGGATCAAGTTTAAAGGGAGAAATATAAACTTTGCCTTTAGTAATCCAAAGAAGAAAAGTAAAAATGCATAAATATTCTTTGTTTCTGAAACTCTGTAGTAACCCTCTTTCGCTATTAGTGGGAATTTCACTTGGTTCAGTATTTAAGCAATATGGAGACTTGGAGACTTTTTATTAAAAATAACAACAATAACAACTAATTATAGAGGTTCTACATGACACAGTGATTCAACTTTTTGGCATCTCTCCCAAAAGCACAAAAACATTAATTTAAAAAAGAATTAAAAAGTACATAACAGAACAAACAGAAGAAAATAAGAGATTTTTGAACAGTGTTTTAGAAAGAAGTACAAATTAGTAAGTAAACGTGTTTGTTTTTTTTTTTTAAGGAACATTTTCAAATCAATCATCTCTTTTCATCTCAAGAATTTAGAAAATGAAGAGCATAAGGAGCCTTATTTAAGCAGAAAAAAATAAATAGAAAACTTAAGATTAATTTTTAGATTACAAGAAACTATTCCTTGAAAGCTACAAACTACCAAAACTCACCAAAATAAAATAGATTCCCTTAAGAATCATGGAAAAAAAATTAATGGAGCATTAAGATCACTTTTTAAATAGCCAAATGCAAATTTTAGAACTGAGAATATAGTGTCTGAATTTAAAATTCTCTAAATTTAACAGAATGGAGTTAACCATGAGAGAATCTGTAAACTTGAAAATAGGGTGCTCATTTTCCTCCTCACCGACATTTTATGTTGTTAATATTTCCTAAAAACAATTGTTTATAGGAAGTACACTTTACTGCAGGTAGATAAGCGACTCTGTTTGGCTGTTATGGAAATTCAAGTCTAGAATACGTAGAGTAGAATAGAGATTAAGTTAGCTCATATTACGGGATAATTTAACACTGAATATAATTGCATGTAATAATTGCCCAATGTGTGAATCTTAGCATGGTCCATACTTATGCTATGCTACAAAGACTAGTTTCCAAGGACCTGTATAATTTTTCTTATGACACATTAATAGTGTGATTTTATGGGCTTGTGAATTCTGGAGGTCCATGGAAACAGCTAGGAAACCCTGGATGGGTCTCAATGTCTATGACTGATCTCCCCAGCATGAAGCTAAGAGTAACCACATACTCCACAGGACTATGGAGAAGAGAAAATATGGTCATTTGGGGGGTGAAGCTAGCACAATCTTGGAACTCGCTAAACGTTTGATACTTTGTAGCACAGTAGTGCTGTCCTCTGGTTATTCATCAATTTGCTCAAGGGGGCCCAGAAACGTCTCCATTGTGAGACTTGTTACTGTGTTTGGCATTGTTTTTATCTATTTATTTTTTCCTAAGTACAGAACAGCATGATACCTTCTTTATAAAAACAGATTTTACCTAAGGAAAAGACAAGAAAGAGCAAAGTGTACATTCAGGAAAGAATCCATTTTCATGCGACATTAAAGGTTTCATGGACCTAGAACATCAGGAAAGGAAACTTGGTAGATGTACAGGAACCTTCTCCAGCCCTTTTGTTTTCCAAATGAGGATCTCAGAACCTATTACAGAAACAACTCTAAGTGTTCCTTTACTTGAAACGGCAACAGTTTAGGATGAGCAATAATGAGAATGTCAGGAATATTAAAACCAAAAGCAGATGAGTAATGACTGTCAGCTAAAAAAAAAAAAATCCCCACAAGATAGAGGCTTCAAACACCAGATGGCAAATTTAGGCAAGAGGCTTGTTGCTATGGAGCAGAGTAATTTGCTACCGGGGCCTTTGTAAAATCACTCGGCCATCCAGCAAAACATGTGTGTGTGTGTATAGCACAGTACACTACAGAAAAGCCACTCAGGTACTGAATGGATGATTAAATCTCATTTTGTAAATTATACTTCGGATAAAATAGTGCATGATTTCTGAAGCTTTTGGACAGAGATGGAAACTGACGTTTAGTTCTAGTCATAGGATACAGATAAACGGAAAAGAAAGATGAAGTACAATTGCTTTTAAAAAACAACCATGAGTCCGTGAAGGCAGAATTCAACAAATTTATGTTACACAGGCACCAAAAGGTAGCTGGATGGGCTTCACTGTTCACATCTGATATTATAGTTTCATAGATGAAAAAGCAGACCAGATGCACTCATTTTCCAGCAACCCAGGACAAGCCAGGAGAATCTAATGCATTTGACCCATCTTTCCAGATTCTTCTAAACCATTCTTACTGCTGCTAATAGTATAAGCCCACAATCGGGTAACTTCACACACACACGGCCCTGTAATAGATATGTTAGATTTTCTGGAGTGATAGCATAGTGGGTAGGGCGTTTGCCTTGCACACGGCTGATCCGGGTTCAATTCCTCCACTCCTCTTGGAGAGCCCAGCAAGCTACCGAGAGTATCCTGGCCACAAAGCCTGGCAAGCTCCTTGTGGCATATTGCTCAAGCGGGCCCAGTAACATCTCCATTGGAGACTTTGTTGTTACTGTGTCTGGCATATCGAATACTCTCGGTAGCTTGCCGGGCTCTCCGAGAGGGGCGGAGGAATCGAACTCGGGTGGGCCATGTTGGCCGCTTGTAAGGCGAACGCCCTACCCGCTGTGCTATCGCTCCAGCCCGTGGCATATTAGATATGCCAAAAACAGTAACAAGTCTCACAATGGAGACATTACTGGTGCCCTCTCAAGCAAATCGATGAACAACGGGAAGACAGTGCGACAGTGCTACAGGTTTCCTTTATCATAATCATCTCTGTTGTATTCCTGAATTCTGTTATTATAGAGGAAAAGAAATTATAGACAATACACAAAGAATTGGTGTGGCTGTGTTCCAATTAAATTTTATAAAAAAACCAAGTTTGTAGTTAATATAATTTTAGTTTATCATAAAATATTATTTTGTGCCCAATATTTAAAACCATACAAACTCTACTGACTTTCTAGCCATAGAAAATCAGGTAGTCAGCTGGATCTTACCTGTATGCCATCATTTTCTAGCAAGAGATGCTCCTTACAAATGCACGCAGATTCTAATTGTATGATTTAAAAACTATCTTAGTGATTACACTATGATTTCCTATAAGCTATTTTTAATTTAAGATTGGTTTTCAACTGGTAGTAACTTTTAAGTTTTCTTAACTTTAGGATCTGATATAACGCTTTTTAAAAAGTCTATATCCCAGTTGCCCATTTGTTGACAATAGAAAGACCAGTCCATGGTAGAAAGCTTAGCCACAAGTGTGAGTGAGTGAGTGAGTGAGTGAGTGTGTCTGTGTCTGTGTGTGTGTGTGTGTGTGTGTGTGTGTGTGTGTGTGTGTGTGTTGGAGGCTGGTGGTATGTGGTGACAAAGTGCAGCTAGGACAGAGAAGAGACTACTATGACAATGATAGTTAGAATGATTATTCTGTAAAATAACTGAATGCTAAAAGGGAATAAAGTGATCTACATGATACCATTTCAATAACAGAATTGCAAACCATAGTGCCTAGAAGGAAAATAAGAAAAAGGAGAGAGAGAAGAAAAGTGTCTGCCAAAGAGGCAGGTTGAGAGAATGGACAGGAGGGAAACTGAAGACATTGGTGGTGGAAAATGTATGCTGGTGAAAGAATGGGTGTTGGAATAGCCTATGACAGAAACCCAATCATGAACAACTTTGTAACTGTCTATCTCACAGTGATTCAATTTTTTAAAAAATGGAAAAAACCTCTATTTTTCTGTAGAAAAAAAATTTTTTGACAGAATAAAAAGTAACCAGTAATCCTTTTGATTTTTTCAAAAGGCATCATTAAGATTCACTGGCATTTAATAACTCTTTTACTCAAAAGATTAAGCAGTATATTCTAAAATGATAAGGTATCTAATAACAACATTTAAACATACTTACTGTATTTCAGATAAAAAGGTAAAGACCCTCCCGTTGATCGTCGATTTGCTCGAGCGGGCCCAGTAACGTCTCCATTGGAGACTTTGTTGTTACTGTGTCTGGCATCTCGAATACTCTCGGTAGCTTGCCGGGCTCTCCGAGAGGGGCGGAGGAATCGAACTCGGGTCGGCCATGTTGGCCGCTTGTAAGGCGAACGCCCTACCCGCTGTGCTATCGCTCCAGCCCGTATTTCAGATATACTGCTTAAAAATTTTAGATGAATTAACTCATTTAAATAAAGCTCAGAATAACCCTAGGAGACAGGCACAATCACTAGCCCATTTTCAGAGATGAGAAAAGAGAGGCACAAGTGTTGAAGGTACCTGCATAAGATTACACAACTGGGAGGTAGTGAATCTAGACTTCAACCAGGGCCACTCTCGAGACTGAAGCCTATTCAAGGCTATCTTGTATATTTTTAGTAGTCTTCCAT